AAGTGATCTAATTGTTTGGGGAGATACTGGATATACTGGAGCGTTAGTGGTTAGAATAAAAGGTCCTGAAGACCTGTGAAACTTTGTTTTTTTTTTTCCTTTTTCCCCATAAAATAAAAATTGTTTTTGCCGAGCATAAATTGAGGTAATTCGTGGGGGAATGAAAATACTAATAAATACTGGGCTCGTTGTGGAGTCGAAGTTTTAGCATGTCGTCAATGAAAATTTGTATATTGTTAGCTTCCACCTTGACATTTTCAACTTTAATTTTTGAGAAAGTCTATACCCGTTGGGCTGCAAGCATAACAAGTTTGGCTCTTAGCTGTTTTAAGTTTTTCAAGTGAAAGAAACTACTGAAGTATTTTAAAACTGTGTTTTGATCTCAAGTTTAAATACGTTTTGACAAAATAGGATGACCCTTTTAGAAATTTCCTAATATACATTTTCTTTTATTATTCAGGATTTCTATAATGAAAGTTAGGGACTATTTATAATGAGAGCTAGGGCAGAACTCTGGTTATAAGGAGTTCTAAATGAAGGTTTGCTGCAGTATATAACTAGGTTTACTGAGATCTTCCAGTTTGAAATGCGAGGATCTATATATTTGTTAAAGATGAATCTAGATGAATTATTTCATTTGGGTCTTAAAACATATGAAAACCAAACTAATTTTCTTTAGCAAGCAAACACCTGTTGCATTCTTTAGTACTTTTTTTTTAAATGAAGTGTGTAGGGTAGTTTTTTCTCTAAAAGAAAACATCCTTTGGTGAAAGCCTTCTATGTTTTAAAGATTAATTTAAAACCTTTAACATATCTTAAGACCTTCTTATAATTAGTTAAGTTAGATCACATGTTTTACAAATTTATTCAGTCTACCAGCAATCTCTCTTACCTTTATTTCCTTCCCTAATAACTCTTTCTCCCCTCTCTGTTTTTCTGAATACTTGTTGGTTCGTCCTTTGGGTTTTTTTATCTCCTACTCTTTATCTGGCTTGGTTTTCTTCAGTCGCTATTTAAACGCAGGCGCCTGAAGTTTAAAGACTGATTGAAATTACTGTTTGCTTTTAGTTGGTGCCTTTAAATTAAATGTATGCCAGTTTTTTCAAATGCTTTGTCTGACTTCCATATCTCTACAAGATTCTTTCCAAAATGAAAAACCAACGATATCTGCTTTTTCTATCATATTTTTCACATTTGTGTTTAAAGACGGATATATAAAGTGCCTACGATGCATATATATTCTACGGTAGATGTCTTTTGTTACATTTGCATTTGTTTTGATGCGTCTATTTCTGTTCTCTCCAAGCCTAGCTTACAGAGGTTCAGCTAAACTTCCCATCACCTTTTAGGTTGGTCTTGCAGCATATATAAATAGCTGTCGGTTTTATTTGATGACGTGACTAGTCACTTAACGTTTTGGTTCAGAGTTTAAGGTGGGGTACCCAAGTGAAAGTATTCCAGATTTTGATTTTGCAAAGAAACTTTGATATTTTGCCATTCTCCAAACCGTCTTGCAAATATTTTCCAAACTTTCTAGCATTTCTTTGTTGATTGGTTTTCCGAGAGAGATGTTGCTATTAGGATCCGCTCCCAGAATAGCCTGATACTGAATTTGATCCTTACTATTCGAACGTCTGTTCTGGTGAAGATGACGAGTTTAATGTATATACCTCTTAGATTCTGTTTCTGAATCAACTTAAATCTATATTTAATCAATGGTTAATTCATATGCACATAAAGTAGCATTTTTTTTAAGGTGCAGGATTTACCCATACAGTAATATAATCAATGAGATTTGCGTAGCATTTTTGCGTCTTTGCATTTTATAAGCATAAGACCAGAGTTACCAGACATTTGTCTATAATGCTGTAAAAGCAGCCTCCTTTGTACATTTATTTGTTTATAATGCAGAATTTTCACTGATCTGTAATACAGATCAGTGAGAATTTTCATATAAAATATTATCTTTTGTGGCCAAAGTTTTGCGAAATTTACACATTAAATAGAATTATTCGCGGTGCGGTTATCTAGGCTATGTTATGTTATGTTGATAATGGGGTGTTAATACACTGCGACCTAAAAGATCTATTGTGCCCCCTTCTGTCGCCACTGCACTAAGGAAATGTCTCAATGCCTATAGCGACCCTTCCAATCCTATTTTCTCAAGGAAGTGTAGGATTTGAAGTGGCTTCAAGTTAGGTAAGTCTCCCTCTTCTATTTGATATCCTCCTAGATGTATTGCCCTTGGATTCTGGAGTGCTACACATTCAGTTAGGATGTGAATGGAGGTTTCGTCTTCCTCCTCACAGAATTTGCACTCACTATCCTCTACTACTCTCAGTTTACTTAGGTGTCCTTTTAGTCGGCAGTGCCCGGTAAGGATCCCTGTTACAATACGTAGCCTGTTCTTGCTTCCGATCTTTTTTGGTTATATTCACCCAGAAGTATCTTGGCCTGTCTCAGCCCCAAGAGATTGTTCCAATTATTGGTTCTTCTACTACCCAATTCTTTTTTAATCTCTTCTAATATTATGTTACTGCTGATACCGCAGGTGCTACAAAGGGTGTTTGAGCCCCTTTCCTTGCAAGACTATCTGCAATCTCGTTACCCTGTACCCCGTTATGTCCCGGGACCCAAGTGAGAGTAACTCTATTTTTCTCGCCTAGCTCATTCAATTGTTCTAGGCATCTCCATACCATTTTTGAGCTGATTACGTAAGAACTCAGCGCTTTGATGGCTGCTTGACTATCGGACATGATGATAATCTCTTGTCTATGATAGTTTCTCTCGATGTTAAACTGGATACACTTCTCGATGGCGTGATACATAAAGTAGCTTTCTCTGTACATTTATTTTGCAATAATATGCAGAATTTACACATTAAAATTTACACATAAAGTAGCATTTTTCGCGGTGCAGTTAGCCGAGTTTGTAGTTTATAAGTATAAGATCAAAGATAACACATAAAGTAGCCTCCTTTGTATAGTATTTGTTATTTGCAGAATTTACACATTAAGTAGTATCTTCCGCCACAAAAGTTTAGCGAAATTTGTACATAAAGTCGCATTTTTTATACCCATGTTTTTATAATCGCTGGAATTTGATCGATTTAACGATGTAAATCAGGCGACACAACAATTAGTAATGAGTAATATAGGCAGGTAGCGATAGAGAGTGACGTAAAATTTTAAATCCGAACATGTGGGTCAGCGGCGTAACATAGGTATACTACATGGTTATCTTTATTTGCACTAACACTAGTTATTTTAAAAATAAATTTATGGAAATTTGAAATTTATCCTATTGCAAAAAACAAATGAATAACATCCTTTATCTCAATAGTGGAAAACATTTCACTCAGTGTTATTTTGCCTTTCGTATGAAAACTTATTTAATACAAAAAATACAAAAAAAAAATAAGTGGAATATGTATAAAAAATTATCTTCATTGAAAATTAATTTTACCTTCCACAAGAAAAATTTTACAAACTCAGAAAGACATCTAAATAAAAAAATAAAACAATTTGAATTCTTATTTTGATATTTGTATTTATTAATAAAATGGGAAAAGTATGTAGATATTTGACTTTTGACCTACCCTGTACAGATTTGTTTCGAATTAAAAAATAGTGTATCGGAATAAAATGTAGACTAATATCGAAAATATTTTACCACAAAATATTGGTTTTCAATTATTTATTTTGCAGTATACAGGCCATTGAGATCAATACGATTTTCATATAAAATTGGTATTAGCGTATACTCTGTATTATCTCATACTATTTGGTATTGTTATAATTGGAAAAGCGAAGGCAATTCAAATATAAAATAAAATAAAGGGCATTCTATTTAAAAAATATCTTTAAGTAAATACATATTTCATTTTTCTCTCTGTAGCTTCATTTGCAGATGATACTGCCATCCTAGCGACAGGCAAAGATAAAGAAGACTGCAAATGAACTACAAACATTAGTTAATCAAACAAATAACTGCACCAAAAATGACGCATTTAACTAAACGAAATCAATATCGGTTACCTAATATTAATTTTACCAACAAAATTGTTCAACAAATACCAATTAGCATAAATAATGACCAGATATCTTATTCTAACTTGGCAAAATATCTAGATATTACAGTTATTACATCTAGATGCAAGTCTTCGCTGGAAGGACCATGTTAAAAAGAGAAACAAAATATATAAAAGCCAAGAAAATGTTCTGGGTACCTGGTAGGCATAAATTAGGTTAGAACATTTTTTATTTATCTATTTTCGATCAGTGTAATATTAATAAACGTATCTTATGAAGTGTTTAAAATAAAATTATTACTTGGTATGAAAGCATTCGAATTCTGATATACAAACATTACGTAGCCAGCCATCTGTTCGATGCCTTGCTAGCCATGTTGAACTGTTAAGGTTATTATCCTGTCAACCATGTAGTTCTTTCTGTGGTCTCCGCTCTTGCTTTTAGGTTTTTTTTTTCTTTTCCTGGGCTCGTCTGACTATGTGTCTCCGAATAACACTGAAGCCTATTGGCTTATTGTGTTTTACCCCATGTTAGTTCATAGCACCCACTCTATCACCTTTGTACCTTGTACAAGTTTGTGCAGATCCTTGGGTGAGTGGGTTCTATACGTTGTTGGATCAACCTGGGGTTGTCCAAAAAGAGCCTGTCTTTTGCGATCTAGAGCTTCGCATTCGCACAGTATGTGTTTGGCCATTTCTGGTTTCTTGTGACATAGTCGGCACATGAGTTCCCTATTGTACATGCCAATTTTGTTCAAGTGTCCCTTTACTGGGGCGTGCCCAGTCATGAACCCTGTTATCACTTTCAACTGGTTCCTATTCATTAAGAGTAGTTCTCCAGTTCTTTTGGGACATGGTCTGCCTATGAAGGCTTTTCCATGTGCCTGTTTTGGGGTTGCTTTTAGGTACTATTCTTACTATATTTTTCTTTACCATTGTTTTAACATTTTTGTTTTATTTTGTGTGGCAGATCCTGTTCCAACAACTTGTAAAAATGGCATTTGTAAAAGAGCCGCTTCTTCAATGTTGGCGATAATGAATCACGATGACAAACTAAATCGATGCGAAGATTACTACAAATTTATCTGCGAAGGGCCAGAACAAAACGATGAACATGCCTTCTTCCATGAAAGTTTTAAAGGATTCGTTAAGAAGATAAATGAAGTGACTCCCACGTCCGAAAAGTACATGACATTGTTTGCTGACTTTTATAAAAGTTGTAATGAGTTCGGCAATTCTATTAATAGATTAGAAAGGCTCAAGTGTCGTAAGTAGATTTCATCATATTTTTTTCAAGTTTTCGTCATATATTTGCCAAATTTTTGTCAATTTTTTTTTTCAGATTTTTTTTTTCAAATGATTGTACAATTTTTTAAAATTTTCATGTTTTAGTCATTGGAACTGAAGGTGCTGACCTGACAAAATCCGTTACCACAGCAATTCTAGCACAGACATTACCATTTTTTGATATCGGCTTAAATATAAATGGAAAGAATTTTAAACTTGAGGTTAGTATTTATTTTATTTAATATAATCAACATAATACCCCAGCTGGCACATAAACATCCCATCTACGTACAATGTAACGCAATTACACATGTGCGATACTACATGATACCCATAAAACACTGAAAAATTGGACAGAATTAGGTTTAAAGGGCATGTAAGAAATATCTCAAAGGTTTACTAGAATCTAAAATGCTAAATGATTGCACAAAAGTAGCTAAAGAGTAATATATCATACATGTTCACTAGAAGCTAAAATGGTGAACAATTGTACAATAGTAGGTATATAGCATATCTATATAAGCTATATTTCGAAGTTTCATTAGGTTTTTATTTCAATTGCAATATTTTAAAGCTAAATCAGTGAATAATAATGGACAATTGTAACAATAATTATTAATTACTTGTACAAACTTTAAATAGTGAATCTTTGACTAATTTTAAGGCAAAAAGTTCATATGAACACGTGTACTAAACCTCTTAACTTTTGTGCTACAGGGTGGTAAAGTTTTCAGAAAAAATCTATTTTTTCCAATAACTGTGAGACTATTGTAGATATCTTTACGAAATTTGGTACACGTATACTATGCATTAAGATGCATTTTTTGATGTACAAATTTATATTTTCTACCAGTGGCGTTCATACCTACGGGGTTCGTATTGAATATTTTTGCAGAAAAAAAATAGTATGCCACTGCTTTATCTTAAAACAAAAATTATTTTTGAAATCCTCATTTATTTTTAAACAAATTTAATTTCTTGAGTTTTTTCGTTCGATGCATAGTTTACGATTTAAAAAATAAAATCCGTTTTATTTCAGAGTCAAATTGCTAAAATGTACAATTGTACATACATGCATAGTAAGCCTTGCAAACAACCGAGAGGTTTCCATGGTAGCGGAATCAGTCATAAGAGTTTATTTAACAAAAAGATCATGGTTTTTGTCATTTAAAAATGTATGTATGTAATAATTTGTCTATTATTGTGTTCAAAATGTACGAATATACCAATGCAGAAATTGCAGACATTCATTTCGTCTACGGAATGGCTCACGGTAATGCACAAGCTGCAAAAAAAATATATCAAGCCCGATTTCCTCAACAGGTGGTTCCACATGTCCAAACTTTCATTAATATTCACGCAAGACTTTGTGAAACTGGCAGCTTTAAAAGAACAATTGATATCCCAAGAAGGCCTGCGACAGTTCGAACAGTTGAAATTGAAGAAGCTGTGTTAAATAGAATTGAAGAACACCCGCAAACTAGTACAAGGAAAATTGCTCATGAATTGGATATTACGCATACAATTGTGTTGCAAATTTTAAAATCTCAACAACTTTATCCTTATCATATTCAACGTGTACAGGGATTACTACCTAGAGATTTTCCTCTCAGAGTAGATTTCTGCGTTTGGCTGCGAAATAAATTATTAACAACCCCAGATTTCTTAGGCCATGTACTTGTTACAGACGAAGCTTCTTTTTCTCGAAACGCCATCATGAACTTCCACAACAACCATATCTGGTCTGAGGATAATCCCAATGCTATCATAGAAAATAATTTCCAAGATCGTTTTTCTCTAAATATTTGGGTCGGAATTATTGGGGATCACCTTATTGGGACCTTGCATTCTTCCACAAAGGCTAAATGGCGAAGAGTACACAAGATTTTTGGAGCACGAGCTTCCTGAACATTTAGAAGAAATTGATTTGGCTACCAGAAACAGGATGTGGTTCATGCACGATGGCGCTCCGGCACACTTTTGTTTAGCTGCACGTCAATTTCTGAACGAGAATTATCCTAATCGTTGGATAGGAATAGCGGGACCGCAAGCCTGGCCTCCCAGATCACCAGATTTAAATCCTCTGGATTTTTTCTGTGGGGTCACTTAAAGACACTAGTTTACAAAACATCTGTTCAAAATGAGCAAGATCTAAGAAACAGGATATTTGAATCGTGTGCCATTATTAATCAGACACCAGGTATATTCGAAAGAGTACGTCAAGCAATGTTAAGGCGAATTGACGCATGCGTTGCAGTAGGCGGCAGGCATTTTCAGAAATTGTTGTAAATGTTATTAACTTATTTGTAAAAGTAGTTTAGTCTTAGTCTGTAAATAATCTAAGTTTATCACATAACAATATTGATCAATAAAAGACACATTTTTCACTTGTTCCATGCAGAATACTATGCGTCGGACGAAAACTATGCGTCGGAGAAAAAACTCATCAAACCAAATTTTCTCAAAACTAAATGAGGATTGCAAAAATATTGGTTATTTTAAGATGAAGCAGTGGCGTACTATTTTTTTCGGCAAAAATATTTAATACGAAACCCGTACGGGCGCCACTGGTAGAAATAATAAAATTATTTGTACATTAAAAATTGCATCATAATGCGTAGGAGGCGTGTACCAAATTTCGTAAAAATATCTGCAATATTCTTACAGTTATTAGAAAAAATAAAAAAATTTTCTGAAAACTTTACCACCCTGTAGCTCAAAAGTTAAGAGGTTTAGGACATGTGTTCATATGAACGTTTTGCCTTAAAATAAGTCAAAGATTCACCATTTAAAGTTTGTACAAGTACTTAATAAACACCCTGTATATCTAGCAGCTCTAACCTGATCATTTCACCAGTTCTGATAATATGGTAAAATTTTAACTTGTTTTTTTGGTGTCCCTTCATTGACAACTTTCAAAATTTTATTTAAAAGTTCTTTGTATTTTCCATTAATATCATGTAACCAATAATTCCATGTAATATATTTTAGATTATTGATTATTATTATTATTTATTATGTTATGTTTAACCTACCATAACAGGTAGGTTAAATACGTCAGTAACAAATAGAAGTTTTACGAGGTTTTGATTTCCCTCAACAACTTCCCATGAACGTTGCATTTACGTTGTATAGTAATGTTATTATGTTCCCTTAAAGCAGTGGTCGCCAACCTCTCAATGTGTTAAGCTACTTTGTTAATTTTGGAATAAACAGCGAGCTACCTACACGGAAGCCACGTAACGCAACGTAAATGAAATAATCCACAGTTAATTTATCATTATATGTATTTATTTTACTATTTAACTGGTAATACATAATACATAGGTACTAATAATAAACTAATAACAAAATAACTAATATTACTAGTACGTACTTGTTCATAGCTACATTCCTACCTACCAAACGAAGGTGTTTGAAAAATAAACACAAACTTTTATTCAGCCACAACGGCATGTCACGTAAGATTTAAAAATAGTTAATAATAACAACAAAAAAGTAACGCACTATCATGAACATAAACATTGAAAAATAAAAAAGCACGTTCAATGAAAAGGATGACACTCAGACTCATCGATATTTTTTTTTAATGTTTGCAGTATAATTTGATACAGCCATTCGAATACAATTATCCAAATGTTCATCTATAAGTCGATTGCGATATTTGTTCTTAATAAACTTCATATTGGAAAAAGAAGATTCACACAAATAGGTTGAACTGAATAATGCTTTCACTTTCAAGGCAACACAGCATAGAACTGAATATTTGTCTTTACTTACAATAGGCCAGATACATTTGGTACTTGAGACTAACTTTTTTAAGGCTAAATCATTTTGAAACTCAATTACTTCCATTTCTGTTGCAGCGATGTCTTCGCCAAAGTTCTGCACAACACAAGTTGCAAACTGTTGGATATCAATTTCCATAAAGGGTGAAACAACAAACTGCGCTACTAAAGCCATTTCGTTGAAATCCTTAAAACGATTTTTGAAGTATTCTTCAGGGTAGAAACTATTTCTACATGATATTTGCTGTCATAGCGTTCTAATGGATTTTGAGATATTTTTTTCTGAAAGAATAGGAAAATGCTTGGCATCGCTGTTAATTAGGTTTTGTTCCCAAAACTCCAGCTTTTTGATAAATGCTTTTATATCAGAAATCATTTCCGCTAGTTCTTTGTCTCTCCCCTGAAGCTGCAAATTAAGTTCGTTTAATTTATCTGTAATGTCCACGAGAAAACCAAAATATATAAGCCAGATTGAATTTTCTAGTTCCGGATGCCAGATAGGACATCATTAAAATGTTTCAGCACCCGTCCTCTACTTAACCATCGGACTTCAGAGTAAAGGAGTAGGTCCCCGTATTGACAGTCAACTTCATCGGCCAAGGTTTTGAATAATCTTCTTTGTAACGCTTGAGCTCTAATCTTGTTCACAATTTTTACCACCAGTTTCATAACTTTGTTTAGTTTCAGGAAATTTCCATGCTTGCTGATGGATAATGCAGTGGTAACAGAGAAATTGCGGAAAAGTTTCATCTTTACGACATAACCCCACCAGACCCTTATCACAACCCCCCATAGCTGGAACGCCATCGGTTGTCAAGCCTCATTTTCGATATTGGAATTTTCTCGAAAGAAATAATTTTTCTTAAATGAGAAAACAACTCCTGTCCAGTAGTGTGTCCTTTCAGTGGAATAAACTTCAAAAGATCTTCTTTAATTGTAAAATCACTAAAAACCATCCTGACGAACACAGCCATCTGGGCAGTGTCAACGACATCTGTTGAAGTGAAAAATAAACACAGTTATCTAAGTCAGTTCTTAACTGTAAAAAAATATCATTGCTCATTACTTTTACCCGTCTCATCACTGTATTAGCAGAAAGTTGCATAGATTTTATAGCTGAAACTATCTCGTCTTTATTTCTAAAGTTGGCAAATAAGGAATCAGCAGCTTCTAAAAACGCCTGTTTTATCATTTCCCCGTCTTCATAAGGTTTCTTTTTTTGTGCAATTATCTGGGACACACGGTACGATGCTTCAGTTGCAGCCTTATTTTTGTCGACTGTTCTTAAAAATATTGATTGTTGTCCAATTAACTGCTTTTTAACTGTTCCTTTCTGGCGGCAGAATGTAGTGGGAATGATTTTTCAAAATTAGAATGTACAGTTTTATGATGTCTCTCAATATTTCCTTTTTTAGCAACGGAGACCGAAGTATTACATAACAAACACACATTTTTGTGTTTAACTTCTGTAAAAAAGTATTGTTTTTCCCATTCCGAATGAAAGTGGTATGTCTTTACCTTCTTACAACTGCTTGCCATAATATTATTTTTTGTTGTTCTCTACTAACCCAACCGCTGGACGTTGGTTACGCATTCAGTTTTAAACTAAGCGCAATGTCGCCGCGCCGTGCGTATTTATCCCGTTCAAAGCAATCCTGATCGTTCTCGAACACTAACGCGCTGGTCCGTCTGGTCGGTTCTAGCCGATTCTAGCTTGATGGCGTCAGCGGCAGATCGCTCTCCGCAACGTTGCCGCTGTTTATGTTTAATATTATGACAATTAGATTTTTTTGTGGAATTTTCGGAAGCTTCTCTGATTTTTGCAGTTTGTATTTTTTAATTAAAATCATTGTGAGAGCTACCAGAATTGCCTCCGCGAGCTACCGGTAGCTCGCGATCGACAGGTTGGCAACCACTGCCTTAAAGCAACATCGCCGAAAGGCTTGTCAACGTTATGTGCTAGCTGGGTACTCTATCCAATTTTCTTCAATTATCTTTTTTTAGATTAATCTACCAGGATTGAGCTACTTAAAAACAACTTTGAAAGATTGGTCTCTAATGGAACAATTGACAGATACTTGTATCAATAAGCAAAGCGACGAAATCAATCAAAACGTTATTGAATTAGATAAAATTTCGACTAATATTACGAAATGCATTGATGAAAAAGCTACGCAATATGTCAAGGATTTTGTAAATGAAATGAAACAATTAAGTGTTCTATCTGGTTTTGAATTTCTTGATGCAAATGTTAAAGCGGTAAGTTATTTTTTTCATAAATTTACTTATTTTCTTGAATGTATCTTGGGTATGAACCTTCAATTGTGAGTTACATTTTTTTTATTTATTTTTTATTTGTTTTACAGGCAACACAAAATGACGACCTAATAGAGATTTTAAATGTAGTCCAGGTATTGTACCTATGAATATAACTTTGGAAAAAATTGCAAATATTCTATTACAGGAAAGCCTAGCTGCGTATCGTAATACCAACCTGAAAAAGCTAAAAGAGACAACCTTATTAGATTTGAATAAAAATTATGATTTTGGCCTTGACTGGATTGAATTATTTAAAGGCATTACAAATGATTTAACAGTAGATGAAAAGACTGTCGTTTACCAGTCAGAACATCTTGAAGAAGTTTTTAAAAAATTAATAGAAAAAAAGGCGTGAGTATTATCTGCGATTTTATATTATAATTAATTTATATGCTCCAGATACCACAAAATTATAATAACAATAACATTGTAAGTACAAAATGTTTTGAATCTTATTAAATAAATTAAATATAACAAAGGTTTGAATCATAGAAAATCAAATTTAATTCATGAAAATCATAAATAAGTTCTGTATCTGTATCTGTAATGTGTGGAGGGTGGGTTACCCCCCACGGCACTTAGGCCTCATTGGGCCCATTGTACATCCTCCTGAAATGATAGGCACCTCCTAGCTCGTGAGTCAGTCTACATATTTAATATAGTTGACAACGTCGCCAAGAGATGCTTCTCTTATATCGGCCGGTGTTAGCCGATACTCGCCGAACATAAATCTTCTAATAAATGAGAGCGTCAAGCAATCGTAAAGGATATGCTTGATGGTCTTATCTTCTTCTTCGCACCCTCTGCAGAGTGCGGATTCTGACAGCCCTTTGATATAAGGATGCTTCCCTACTTGGCAAGGACCAAGGATTTCTTATAGGCATTGTTTATTGTGCTTTGGATAGTGTTCGAGTACTTCTCCAAAGCATTGTTATTGTTTGGTGTTTCGGCCTTCATCTCTCTCAAAGCCTCTTGGAGATGTAAACTTCTCTATTCTACATAGTGTTGCAATTACTTTAAATTATTGGGCATTAATTATTAAAATTACAATAAATGGAAAAGTGTTGATTATTGGAGCAGTATATCGTTCTCCTAACGGAAATGTTCATGATTTTTTTAAATTACTTTGAAGCTCTTTTTAAAAACGATTTTATTAACGACGATGAAACTATTATTTTGGGAGACTTTAACATAGATTTTAAATCAAATACCAGTACATCTAATAAAATAAAGAATATCGTAATTGACTCCGGATTTAAACAAATTATTGAAAATCCAACACGCATTACTCCAACATCGGCTACTCTCGTCGACTACATTATAACTAATAATTTCACCGTGGCTGAACTCCCTAGAAACTTTCCTAAAATATCAGACCATGATGTAATAGGAATAAATGTACCTGGCTTAAATCATACATCTGTAGACAAATTTATCTGGAGAAGGAATATTAATGAGGAAAATATACATAAAATTATATTGGACTTGATAGGAAAGCATTGGGAAACAACATCAACGGATGTCGAGGTGTTATATAATAATTTTTCAAATAATGTTCGAGACTCTCTCAATAAAATTAGCCCTATTAATAAAATTAAATGCAATCAGACACCATGGATCAATATACGTGTTACACAGGTACAAAAATTACGAAACGCAGCGTACAATAGATTTAAGTTTACAGGTACTCAGGAGGATTGGAATGATTATAAAAACAAGAGGAACCAGGCAGTCAATGTATTACGCCGAGAAAAGAAATTATTCTACGAAGACAAAATTGACAAATCCAAAGGAGATAGCAAAAAGATGTGGCAAACAATAAAACAGTTATTTGGACAGAAGAAGGAAGATCTGCCAATAGATAAAATCAATTTTGAAGGCTATTCCGGACCACCTGAAGAAAACTTTAATAAATATTACAGTGATAGCATTCGTGATCTAGCTGAGAGTATAGAAGATAAAGGCTTACTGCAATTTGGAAATGACCTTGAAGTACAGAAAGAACAATTAGCAAAATTTCAAGAAATTACTTTCAGCCAGTTACAAAAAATAGTGAGCAGCCTAAAGAATAAAAGTTCGAGTGACGGTTTTTTAAGTCCAAAACTTCTTAAAGACCTATTTTGTGTAGTTGGATATCCCTTGCTAAATATTGTAAATACAGTGATAACTAGTGGACGAATCCCTTCGGATCTCAAAATTAGTGTAATCGTGCCAATAGCTAAAGTTCCGTCGCCAACCCTGCCAGAACAATTTAGGCCAATTAATTTACTACCAACTATAGATAAAATTATTGAAATTGTGTTAAGAGATCAATTGAAGCTATTCTTTGAAAGAAACAATATTTTGTACTCACGGCAGTCTGGTTTTCGTGATGGTCATTCATGTGAAACGGCATTGCAATTTGCATGTTTTAACTGGAGGGAGGAAATTAATAAAGGAAAAGTAGTTTTGAGTGTATTTGTGGATTTAAAGCGTGCTTTTGAAACGATTGATCGGAAACTGCTACTCTACAAACTACAGAAATATGGTATAAAATCAGATGCCATAAAATTAATCCACAACTACCTTCAAGGCCGATACCACCAAACTAGAGTAGGCAACAGTGTGTCCAATGGAACGGAATGTAATTTCGGTGTACCACAAGGCAGTGTCCTGGGCCCTTTATTGTTCATTATATATATAAACGACATAAAGGACGCGTTACAACAATCTTTTGTAAGTTTATTTGCGGATGACACACTCATATCTGTCGCGGCTACTAATTTTGAAGAAGCTGTTCGCACCTTAAACAGTGAGCTAAGTATTCTGTATGACTGGTTGTGTATCAACAAATTAAAACTAAATGCAAATAAAACCAAGTTTATGGCAATGGGATCTAAATCGACCTGTAACAATTTTGCGGAGCGAAATTTTATCATCTGTATAAAAAATATTGCCATCGAACAAGTATATACGATTAAATACCTAGGAGTTATTTTAGATCCTCAATTGACTTTCAACAGTCATGCAGACTACTTATGTAGGAAATTAGGGAAGAAAATAGGGTTCTTTAGAAGAATAGATTCAAATTTGTCTCAATGGAGTAGAAATCTTGTTTATAATACAATTGTATATCCACACTTTAACTTTTGTATGTCACTTTTACTTTCATGTAATAAAGAACAAGTAAGCAGACTTCAGGTACTCCAAAACAAATGTATGAGAGTTGTTCTAAAATGTAATATTTACACTCCAATCAAAAATATGCTACAAACCCTAAATTGGCTTTCTATTGAACAGAATATTAAAAAGGCAACCCTCGTTGTAATCTATAAAATGATGCATCAATTAACACCGAAATATCTAAGTGAGTTACTAGTTACGCGGCAACACATTCTCGACATTTAAGATCCGATGAAAATTTCAACATAAATTTTTCAAATAAAACTTTCTTAATGGGATCGTTGCTAATTAATGGAATACATCTTTTTAATAATCTGCCAAAAGAAATAAAAGACTCTAGCAATTTGAATTTGTTTAACAAAAAATTATGTAAATATCTTAGAGAATCAAATTAAACAATTGTGTATATTATGTAAGATAACAAAAAAAATATGTAAATAAAAAAATAAATAATTGTATATAATAGCAATGGCTAAATAAACGGATTCATTCATTCATTCATTCATATATTTCCCTGTCCGTCTTTCTAAGATTCCGAGATAGCGTGGAGGTCGGCATCAAGTTTATTTTAAATGTTAACCAGTGGTGATCTGACATTGAAATGTTATCAGACACTTGCCAGTTCTATTGTAACGAGAGTTCTAAGGGCCATTTTCAGTCCAACTTTGGTAGAGATGTAGGGCTTTATATACCACATAAGAAGGTAATATATTGCCGTCCCCAGCAGCAGCAAACATCACAGAAACCGAAGATTTGGTAGAGTTCATTACACGTTCCGGATATTTGCATCCTCTTCTGGTAGTAACTTTCTTCCTCCCTGGGTCATCAGATAAATTCGTCTCGTCATAATTATCGATGTTACCAGCTGGTACGTCTTTCAATTCCACCTCGAGGTTGTCAAAGTATTCGTTTATCACCTCCGGAGAAATAGCAGCCCTGCTTCTTTTTATATTTTGGCACATCCTTAAAGATAAGGCTTGTTTATGTCTTTCGATAAAAGAATATACGAAGTCCCTACCAGGTAAATTGTCTTTGATCACTTTTATGCCTTTATCGATCTAAAAACTCTTTCACTAAGAGTCTTAATGTCAGGGAATTAATGGGATAACCCCAGTCTCCACATACCTGTAGTCTGTTTACAAGAATGGATTCCTCCACATCACCTTGTTTTTTCATTTGTTTTCCCCGTTTGAAATGTCTGTAAAGCACGCTAAAGTGAATGCCATGCTTTTTTGACGATTTTCTTAAACTTAACCCTGACGGTATATCTAGAATTGCACTTTTGATTTTTTCCTCAGAGTGCTTTTTATACTGTTTAGTAGTTTCACTACTTCGATCGTATTTTCGGGGCATGTTTCGGGTATAATCTGAAAAAACAACAAATTATTTAATAGTTATCTATAATATAAGGATACAAAAAAAACTATAAATGACTGCACACGTCGTTTCTGACAGATCATCTAGTTACAAACCTATTAATATAAGTTTATTACTTGTGGGGTCAATAGAAACACTGTTTCTATTCACCCCACAGATTCTAAATAGAAACGTCACAAAAAACAAAAAATCATTGCTGACAAACTAATGTGAAATATCAAAAATTAAACATAAATCTATTGCTAAAACACTGTGTGTACAGTTCATCAAATTTCTAGAGGTGTTCGACGCCCAGACAGAGAACGCGCTACGTGTGACTAAGATAGCTATTGTACAGTCTGCTAAACAAGTTATTTTAAATAGTTTTTAATATTTTTAGGTAATTAAATTTTAAAAGTGTGGAATAGTTTAGGGATTAAATTGGTCTGATTGGACTTTCTTAGAACGTTTTTAAAAGCAGCTAAAGATAGTATGTAGAATTAAAAATAATTATTATGCCATAAAAGGTGTTTTGGAATTCCTTCAACCTTTTGAAATTGAGTCAGAAAATATAAATTTTATAGGATAGCGGAAAATACCTATAATTTTTTTGTAGGCCTTTGTAAATCGTGGAAATAGTTTATATTTTATTTCTACCTTATTAAGGAAAATGGTACATATTATTAATAACGGTTGTTTCTGAAACATTACTAAAATTTTCGAAATTTTGTTTTTCTACAAAATAATAAACTATACTATTTAGAAAAAAATTTATTTCTCTTATAATTTTATAAAAAATAACAGGGGAATATTTACATTTCTTGATCTATTAT